AACACGCAACAACATGCAACAACAAGCAACAACAAGCAACAACAAGCCAACAAGAGGAAGCAACAGGCAAAAAGCAGCAACGACAAGTAGCAACAAGCAACAACAGCCAGCAACACGCAACAGCAAGTAACAACAAACAACACACGACAAACTACAAACAGAACAACAAACAACGAACAACTAACAACTAACAATTAATGAAAGTAACAAATAGCAACGAGCAACCAACTAGCAACTACCAACAACCAACACCTACCAACTAGCAACTAACAACTGACAACTGACAACTGACGTCTAACAACATGCAACAAGGAACAACCAACAAACAACAACCAATCAACAGCCAACAAACAACACCCAACAAACAGCAGCCAACAGGCAACAGCCAACAGGCAACGAGCGACAAGCCACAAGCAACAAGCCACAAGACACAAGCAACAAGCCAGAAGCCACAAGCCGCAAGCCACAAGCTACAAAGACAACGACAAAGACACAGAGACAAAGACAAAACAGACGAAGACGAAGAGACAGAAAGAAAAAGCAACAAAGACACAAACACGCAAAGACACAAAAAACACAACGCCACAAAGACACACAGCCACAAAGGCACAGAGACACAAACGCACAACAGGCACAAACACACAGAGACAACAAGTCAACGACAATAAGACAAAGACAACAAGACAAAGACAAAAATACAAAGACACAAAGAGACAGACGCAGAAAGGACAAAGTCAAAGACACCAAAGACAAAGACGCAACAAGACAAAGACACAAAAGGCAAAGACACAAAAACACAAAGACACAATAAGACAAAGAGACAACAAGGCTGAAAGACATAAAGACAAAAGGCAGAAAGGCAAAAAGGCACAAAGACAAAAGAAGCACAAAGACAAAAACACACACACACACACACACACAAAGACAAACAAAGATACAAAGACAAAAAGATACGAATGCAAAAACACAAAGACAAAACTACAAAGACAACACGACAAGGACAAAGACAAAGGCAATGACAGTGGCAATGACGAAGACAAAGACACAGACAAAAGACAAAGATAAAGACCAAGACAAGTGCAAAGACAAAGCAACAGCAACAGCACTAGCAACAATAACCACAGGCGCAACCGCAGCCATGACTGCAACAGGTGGCCGACAATAAGGCTGATGTTCACAGTATAGGTTGACTTCTGGCAAGTTGGAGGGTACGGATAACCACTTCGGATGCTGATACGTCGCACACAAACGAAGACTGCCCGAAGTTCTTCCCAAGTCGCTTGCATGATCCATGGATGGGCGATTATACTCTATAATCTCTTCAAAGGCCCTTGATAGGGTTCATTGTGGGAATTTTAAGGCCTAATAGCCCAGCCTGGTATGGAAGGTCCTCCGACCTCCCCGGCGCGTTCGGCCCAGCGACGCCTTTGCTGCCCTCGGTGGCAACTCCGTGGCTGCAGTTTTTGCAGCGGCTGCGGCGGCTCGCCACGGGCTCCACGACACAGAATGTAGGTTAGGGTTTAGGGTTTAGGGTTTATGGTTTAGGGTTTAGGGCTTAAGAGGCCAAAAAAAGGTCACGCGCATCAAGCACCCGAGGTGTATGCGATTCAAAACTCGCAAGCTTGTCCGTTCTTTCCCGGTTCCTTCTCGCTTTGGGTCAGGGCGTAGTTTGGAACCCGGCACTCAAGGCCCTGACTTTTTTGATTGAAGGGCGCAGGTCTGCTTTTGGTCCGCTTTGGCACGTCCGTGTCTTATTTTGTCTCGTAGGTCCGCGTGGCTTACGCAGACACTTTCACTTGCACTGACACTTATGTGCTTAAACATTCAGATCACACTTCTAGGATATTTGCAGTGATGCAGGAGCACGTAATTTGGGTTTACGGGGCTCAGGTCTCTGAGCAGGTATCCAGCAGACTCGGATAGCTAGCATTGCGCAGTCAATGCCTGGGACCCTTGTGCCCCAACCATGGTGCTGAGCTCCACGTTCCAGTTGTCCTTGGTTCAAGAATGCTGTCCCCCAAAACGTTAAGCACCTGTCGATGCACCACTCACCGCGGCTAAGTCGGCGGAGACATAGCTGCCTCTGTTTCAAGAACCACAGCCCTACACCCTAAACCCTAAACTCTACACCCCAAACCCTAAACCCCAAACCCCAAACCTAAACCCAAGAGTGCGATGCGTGTGCCACAGGCTCCGCATTTCCGCAGCAGCACTCCTGGCGGCGCCAGCGCTGGGCGAAGTGCACGTGCAGGCCCAGGTCCAGCCAGAAGCTTCCGAGCCCAGCCGATCCACTCTACAGTCCCTGAACCTACTCCTAGTAGTAGAGTAGGTAACCTTTAACCTTTTTGGGGTAGTAGAACCCCCTTATAATTTCAAAGGTTAACCTTGAGTTTTCCCAGGTTACTGGACAACTAAGTACTAAGCTACTAAGATCAGTGAAGTATGTTCTGCCTGCCTGAAGCTGTTTCATGTACGGTTTAGGGTTTAGCGGTACTTGGTGATCTAGGCTTTCGGGTGCTCAAGACACGTAGGCTGTGGGTTAGAGCTTTAGGTGCCGGCTTTGGTGCTTGTGCTTGCGCGCTGGGTATGGGGTCGGAATCATTACTAATGGTATTCCCTTACGATCCCTATATCATTCTGCAACAACAACACAACCCACCCACCCCCCCCCCCCCAATAAAAATTAAAACCTGTCATTCTAATTATTAAGGCCCCTATATATCAGACGACAAGCTCGGCCAGGACCTGGCTGCCAGTCCAAAGCGACCACGCTTGTCCACAAGGTGTGCTTGCTCCAGCGCCCTCGCGAGGGCTGTTGGGGGGATTCTTGCTAGGACGCGACATCGTTGAGGTCCCAGAGCCCTCGGTTAAAGTCTCAAAGCTGCGGGCACTGGGGGCTCTAGCTGCATAGGTCCTCCTTGGATGATGTCGCCGAGATGCTGAACATGCCGCCGGAGGCGACGTTTGGGCCAAGGAATCGGTTTAGGGATCAGGGTTCAGGGTTCAGGGTTTAGGGTTTACGGTTTGGGGTGTAGTAGGGTTTAGGGTTTGGGGTCCCAGTTTTTGTGGTCTTGGACAGGGGGCTCCAACAGTGCCGATCCCAGTAGACGCAGAGGGAGACAACTTCAGGGCCTCGGCTGATGGCTTTGCTTAGTGATGTATGACTTTGTAAGTTTGGATGTTCCCCCTTATACTTACAGTCCTTAATGGGGGTTCGAGTACCCCGTAACCAAAATGTAAGTTTCCATAAAGTTAAAGATCTAAGGCTGGTCTAAGGCTCCCGAGGTGACCTAAGCCAGGACGTGGAGTTTAGGGTTTAGGGTTTAGGGTCCCTCCTTCAGGACATCTGAGGCACGAGCCCGAGCCCTCTTAATCCCGAGTTTTGCACCTTTTCAGGCATTTCAGGCAGCAGTAGGCCCCGGATTTGCCCGAAGCCTCCTTCCAAGCAGCCCTGTCAGGCAAACCTTAAACCCTAAACCCTACAAGCTCGAAAGGATCTCCGAGAGGATGCGGCGGACGATCTCGGCGTTCCCGGCCGCGTCACGCTCCAAGCCTAAGGTGCGATAAGGGCCCATTGTTTAATTGTTAAGGCCCTTATAGTAGGTCGCAAGGTTTGATGGGTTTTCTGTTCAATTTTGCAGCTGTTGATAAGTTTGGCAGGTTTGTTTGCTGGGCCTGGCTCTTAGGCTGGAAGAGCTTGCTTCAGACTGTTTAGAGACAGGCCCACCCTATTCTCAGTGATTCGCGAAGTAGAACGACCCTCCCCTCTTCTAAAATCCATCGTGCCCACCAAGAATACCGCAATACGAATCGCCCACCAAAGCGGGCTGAGCCCACTGCCTGACGATACACTGGGGCCCGCTCAAGAGTGCAAGAGCATGTCCGTTGTTATCTGCGAATTGCAGTCAGGAGCCAAACTCAGATGAGCCACTTGAAACATCAGAAAGTAGGCAACGGCTGGCGGCACAGGGTCTCCAGGCACCCCTGATGCTAACGATTACCGGGCACTGCGGTTGTCCCAGTAGCTGTCCTTCATTCTCTTCGAATATTCCCGGCTGTTCACGTCTAAACTTGAGGGAATGACTATCTAAGTAGTAAGAGTGCAACCCTATAAGTTCAATTCGCTCAACGGGTATAAGCATGTTGTTGAGTTGCAAGCCATTTGGTATTATGGTTTTTCAACGAATAGTATAGCTAGCTGCAACTGCAACAGAAAACGACAACTAGCCCCGTCCTTCCTTATCTTCCAATATTTCCGGCCTATCATCAAGCAACAACTTGAGGGAACGAATATCTAACTAGTCAGAGTGCAACCCTATAAGTACAGTTCGCCAATGGATGAAGTAATGCTTTTCAATTGCAAGCTGGTTGGTACTTTCGATTAACGAACAGTATAGGCTACTTGAAACCCCGAAACTCAGCACAACCCGAACCCTAATAGTAGTCTCCTGGCCGAGGCCATCGAAGCCGTGTGGTTGCATCCTCAGCCGCTAGCCAACAGCCCCATGATGCCTGGACCCTGCACAGAGTCCGGGCACGGGATTGCAAGCTGGAAAGTTGGGGCTTGCGGAAGGTTAGACGTCTTCAGATTGAAGAGCTTGAAGTTTCGGGATTTAGGACTGGCAATGCTTGCTCGTGTTTTGTCAATAATGCCAAAGGGGGCGTGTTGCGGGGCGGTTTCCTGAAGTAGGCAGCTCGTTGACACAAACTAAATGAGTCACCGCTCGCGGCTTTTGTCAGTCTTTCATGCTGCTGATGCCACAACCCATCCCCGAAGCCTGAAAACTCATAAGCCTGCAGCCTTGGAGTTCTCACAACCCCTCACAAGCACGAAAGTATACGAAAGCAGTTCCAGGGTGTCCAGCAAATTCAGCTTCAAAATGACCTGAAGGCATCTTTCGTGGAAGGATTGCCGAAGCAGATGTCATCCGAAGTGCTGCCCCTAAAAAAACCGTGCTCTTGAAACCGAATCCGAAGCCTTGAAACCCCACACGCTTGCCATGGACAATCCGCATCTCAAGAGTGTCCTGGCACCTTGGTTGCAAGTTTACCCTCGGGTGCGACTGGGTGTCAGTGTTAGGATTCTGGTTTGTGGGTTGTGGGTTTAGGGTTTAGGGTGGACCGCTGGGGGTGATAGCAGGGAGTCCCGAAGATGCAGATTGGCGATCGCTGGAGGTTACTGCGCAAGACGCATGCGACGCATGCTGGGCACGGCGCATCACCAAACACTTGCTCAATCTACACTTCCGTAAACTGCTGCAGACAGTCCGTCCTCACTCTCATCCACTCTCCATCAGTGCATCTTTTCTCAGTGGTTCATGCTCAAGCACATAAACAGCTGGAAGCTGATGCTGCCTGGCCCATCAGGCCTTTCGCAGCTGATGCTCAGGATGCCCGCCTCCGCCTGCCTAGCCCCAAATTCAATTTCGCAGCTGGTGCTCATGATTCTCACCTTGTTGCAGAGGATGCTCATGATGCTCGTTTGCCACTGCCTAGCCCCACACATGATGCTCGCCTTCAGCCACCTAGGCCAAATCCCAATTGTGCTCTGCTGATGCTCGCCGCCGGCTGCTTAGCCCTCAACGCCTTTTGCAACTTCTACGGCTGCCTAGCCACAAATTCCTTTTTGCAGCTTGATGCTGATGATGCTGCCTGTCCCACATGTCTCTTGCAGATGATGCGCATGATGCTCGCCTCCTGGCTGCCTGCCCACTTTCCTGTCGCAGCTAATGCTCATGATGCTCGCCTCCGGCTGCATATCAAGAGCACTAGCTGGGCATTTGATGCAGCAGGCATGTAGGGCTAGACCGGACGGCTGCAGAAAGCATATTCCCCAAACTGTAGGATTCCCTTATCATAAGGACCCCAATGAGGTACCCCTAATTTCGGAAACCCTAAACCCTAACCCTAAACTCTAGACTCTAAACCCTAAACCCTCAACCATTTACCCTAAACCGCCTAAACCCTAACTTCGGAAACCCTAAACCCTAAACCCCAAACCCCAAACCCTGAACCTGAACCCTAAACCCTAACATCTAAACCCTAAACCCTAAACCCTACACCCTACACCCTACACCCTAAACCCTAAACCCTAAACCCTAAACCCTAAACCCTAAACCCTAAACCCCAAACCCCAAACCCTAAACCCTAAACCCCAAACCCTAAACCCTAAATTCTGAACCCTAAACCCTAAACCCTAAACCCTAAACCCTAAACCCTGAACCCTAAACCCTAAACCCTAAACCCTAAACCCTAAACCCTAAACCCTATAACCCTAAACCCTCATTTCAGAAGCTTCCCGTCTCACGAGGCCGAATTCCCCGACGTGGATGCAGCGGCGCTGCCCTGGCCTCCTGGGGCCGAAACCTGGGAGGCCAAGGCCGGTCGGGTTTAGGGTTTAGGGTTTAGGGTTTAGGGTTTAGGGTTTAGGGTTTAGGGTTTAGGGGGGGGGGGGGGGGGAGGTTTTCTTGTTTCAGCCTTCTTAAGAGAGGACTTGTAAACGAGGGTGTAGCAACGGTTCAGCGCATTGAAAGGGCTTCTTTACATGCGGCTCATACCATCTACAGGTGTGGGAAAAATCGCTCGTGTCAAGAAGCTGCTTCACAAAAGCTAGGCATATCGAAAGAAAAGAATGAAGAGAGAATGAGAGAAAGAGGCCGCAATCGTTTTTGTTCACCCGAACAACTACCAGACCGGCAGGAAGCGACAGAAACAATATTTTTCCGGCAGAAGGACGCCACGCGACAGGTTCGTTTAGGGCTTTATGTGGCAAAAGAAACATATGTTGTGAATACATTAGTTTATAGAAAATGTGTATAAGCACAAATACATGTGTATATATACATATTCAGATACATATACATATACATATACCTATACATATACATATACATATACATACACATATACATATATACACGTACACAGAGACTTTCCACCCTCATTGTGGGGTTGCTAGACTTTTACGTCAACTGCTCGCCTCCGCCGGTGTCCCGCATGCTCTCCTTGGCCGGGTCCCAGGAGAGAGTCCCGCCCAGTATCCCTGCATTGCCCATTCCCACACAAGCCTGCAGAAAGTCCCGTTGAGTATCGCTGGACCCAGAGAAGCCTGCGAGAGTCCCACCGAGTATCCTGAAGTGCCCCACAGAGATTTCCGCGGAGGAGTCCCCCTACACACGTCACTGTCTGAAAACGGCAGGATGGCTCATGAAGGAGCTCTAGACTCCAGGGTTGGGATGATCGAAGTAAATAATTGTCGCGCACGTGACCTGCCTGTGCCGAGGCCTGCCTTGCGTCAAGGCAACCCAAACCGGAGATCGCGGGTGTGCAGGTGCTGTTAGGCTTCAGCAACGCGCTTTGAGAGGGTAGACGAGTCACCCCAAATGAGTGGCAAAACAAGAAACTTCGCTTACACTTGACTTGCGCCTCCAATGGGCAGCCCATGCACAAAACAGATTGGGCACCCGTACTAGCATCCCCCAGGGCCTGAACTGGTCTGTCATATGTCAGGGCCACTTGGTTCGTTGCTTCAAGGCGTTGTCGAGTGCAATTAAAGTTGGCTTTGCTCTAGATCACCCCTGAACCCAGTTCTGCAACCTTTCCAAACAAGATCAAACGAGGACGTGCAGCTGTTCATCGGAAGTGGAGGTTTTCTCAAGCCAAAGAAGTCCAAGAAGGCCGGGCTCCCTGTTAAAAGCCGTGCTTCACGGCTCCTTCGGTCGGGGTTTCAGCTTCAGCTCCAAGAGTTGGCGGTTCAGGGGCCAAGATCCCATAGTGAACGTAGAACGATTTGCCCAGGATCTGCCATAGACAAAGTAGGTAAGCAACCAAAACCGTTGCATGTACCTAGCTGGGATACATGCATGTTCGCCCAACTTTCAAAGCAGCAGAGAAAACCTCGACACCTTGAGTCCCACGTGCCTGATCCCAGAACCCGAGCCCGCAGCCCCTACAGAGGCCTCCAACCCCCAAAAAGGGTTTAGGGTCTAGGGTTTAGGGTTTAAGTTCCTGCCCAGAAACCCATGACTCGATTTTGGCCCCTCAGCCCCTTAAGAGCCTAGGCAGCCGAAGTTAAGACAGCGCCACCTCCTCCCACGCCGGCGCCGGCAGATGTGCCCACGCCCGCCCCGGCCGAGGAGGAGCCCTCAGGGCACTGCTAGGGCTTTGCATTGTTTGGGTTTAGGGGTTTCGGGGTTTAGGGGTTTAGGGTTTAGGGGGTTTAAGGGTTTAGGGTTTCGGGGTCTAGGGTGAAATGATTTAATGGCTTCGGGTTCGAGATTTTGGCATTTTGATCCGAGTGTCCGAGGCCGAGTTTTTTTTTGAGAGTCTTCAACCTTGCAAGCCCGAAAGCCAGTTCCCTATGGTCAGTGATGTGCTTGCCTGCTTTCGGCTATTGGCACTCCCACACTAGGATATTTTGCCTGAGATCTCAACCTGAACCCCACCCTCGGATTACCCCCCGAAGATCCCAACCACCATCCCAGAACCAAATACGCCGGCCTTGGTGCCAGTATGTATTGAAACGGATCTTTTGCTGGAATGGTATTGTTGTTGGAATCTTAGTCCTTGAGATAGGCTGGATTTCCTGGATAGGGTGGGGCTGCTGTGCGGTGCCAACAGCCGCACATTGAGCCCAAAAGCCTCACTCTAGCGGCTCTAGCGATGAATTAGGTGTATTCGAATCCAAGTTGGTGAGAAATGGCAGTCTGAAACCTGGCACAAAAGGCCCGAACGTTCTACTAGTGGCTCTAAGCTGCTCGAACCCTTGCTGCTTGGGTGTGTCCCGAACTCCTAGCCCCTGGTGTTTTAAACCCTCTCAAGCCACCAGGGCCCTAAACAATCTTCAGAGCAGGCGCACTCTGGCTATCCGGCCACTTCCTCATCCGAGCCAGCCGCGGCGTTTGAGGTGCCTGCGTTCAACCAGGTGCGGCCTTCAGACAGTGCAGGCAGACCTTTCAGATAGTTCCTTGACACCCCTTTGTCTAGCCAAGCCCGAACCCACTGCTTAGCTGCTTGGCGCTTCGCCCCCCAAAACCACAAACTTCAACGAACATCGTAAACAAGGTGAGCAAGGTGTCGGTTCGTTCGGCAGGTTTGCTTGGGTTGGAATTAACACTAAGGGGAGCGCAATTTTGTGATCCAAGAAAATGCTCGAAGTAGCTCATGGCTTGCAGGTTTGCAACTGCTCACGGGCTAACAGCCTTGTCGTCAAATCGTCCTGTGTGTAGCTGTGATGTGCCTAATGCCATTCCTAGCACGCGCAGGCCCAAACTCAGGACAAGATAAAAAATAAAGTGTCGAGGCTTGGGTTGGCTTTTGCAGACGTTGCTGTGTGGGTTCGTGCACCAACGGCGATTCCCCGAGTTGTCGAATCCCTCTAACGCATTTTTAGCTCAAGCTTTTAACTTTCCACCAAAACGAAGACGCTGTGTAATCGCATGGTTAAAAGCTTGTTGAGTCCTGAACCCAATGTCGCAAGGATTGTTTGGGTCTTGAAGCCTGAATTTGAAAAAAAACCTGAGTACGGGGATCAGGATCGCAAGACGCTGACCATGCCCGTCCGCGTGCACTGCGAGGACAGGTGGTCAATGAGTGGGGGTGTTGTGTAACTCTATAAACCCTAAACCCTAAATCAGTAGCGAGCGCGGTTGGCCGGCACTACCGTTTACTTCTGGTGTAGAGACCTTGTGCTGTATAGGCCAGCTACCAAGCATCGTTACCGCGATTCCGCCTGCAGCTGCATTGAGCACTCGAGGTAACCTTGGTAACGTGATGGCTTAACGTCTTCGGGTCTTGGATCGATGCTTTCAGACGGAGAGAAAACCTTTCTCAAAGCTCATGGGAAGAACTACTTTATGCACAGCAAATCTTCTGTCGCATCTCTCCACTCTACACTCTGACAGCCACAGCAGGACACCGCGCCCAATGGACACGTCAAAGACTCAACAGATGGAGCGGGGGTGCAGGTTGGTTCGTGCACGTAAACATGTGGATACACGTGGGAACAGCCACGCCACTCCGCTACAAGCCTTTCTCGTGAGCTCCATACTATCTGTTGGAGGGACTGTACCCGTACAGTTCAGACCCTTCTGTCATGATCTTGGGACTTCATTGTTCTCTGCTTCCTGACCAGACCCAGACGTTCTCGTAGACTGCATTCCACCTCTTGCAATCAGTCTTCGTCAGATGTTCCACTCCAAGACCGACAACCAACAAACCAGCATGGCTCAGACCGGAACTCGTCGATGTTCATTCAAGAACTAGGCCCTCGCGCAGAACTTGCAGAAGTTGTCCCAATTGACAGGGTAAGTTTAACAAAGCTGCTGCCGTGCATGTCAGTGGCTGGTTTCTAAGTGACCCGATGACCAAGGTCCGGATCGAGTCCTTGAACGCCTTCGCCGAGCGAATACGGAGTTTGGCCCTGAAGCAGGTTATGGTGTCTTGGTGGAAATGGGGGTTTACGGAAATAGGGGATCCCCAATATAGATCCCCAAATAGTAGGACAGCAGGATTCCCTTCAAAAATAAGGATCCCAACAAGATACCCCTAAATTCGGAAACCCCCAAATGGGTTGGCCCTGGCGTGGGTTCCTAGGCCCGGCTATGGTGGGTCCACGGGTTCGGTAGTCCTCCTGTTTCCGTGGTCACTGTAAGTTTCAGATTCAGTTTCGAAATGCCCTGATACAAGCACTTGCAGTTGAACACCTCGTCATGCTGTCATCTACAGGATCTGCAATGTCGTTGCAGCTCACTCTACTTGCAACAGAACCCCTTGCCATCCTTACGACAGCATTCGGCTTACCTATGAAAGCCCAGTAGAATCGAGATCAGGTTTGGTAGTGTATATATCGTTCAGAGCAGCACAGCGCGAGGCGGCACAAGCACAACGCGCAAGGCTGCCGAGTTTAAGCCAACAATTTGCTAATTGCGTGGGACCGATGCTGGCAAATGGCCAAGGCCTGTAGGACATGATTAGAGAACCCTGACCACACGCAAGCTCCCAGGACATGCACACCTACATCCCAGGCTTCCATCTCTCATCGGCCAAGCCCAAACCTCTCGCAACAGAACGGGAACGCTTCAGCCAGGCCACGGCCAAAGCTCCGAAACTTCCGCTGCTGTGAATCTCCGATAGCCACCCCTAAACCCTAAACGCTAAACTCTAAACCCTAGGTACACCCATCCGACCTGAAAGCAGAGCCAAGGGCATCTCCCTGGCAGATCTGAAGGACACGGGGGCCTTGACCCGACAGATCGGGGGCTGATTGCGATCTTATAAATCTCTAGTCAGACCTGCAACCCTTAACAGGCCGTAGGGTAGTCGATAGACTGCTTGAGGGGCTGCTGGGGGTGGAACAGGGGGCCTATCAGACAAGCCCTCCAAAAGCCTTCATAAGTGAACATCGCCCTCCTGCTATGAACAGCGCAGGGTTGAGCATCTCGTTTGATTACGACTGACCCTCCCATGTGCCGGGCATATGGGTTCAGAAAGGGAAGTTGAACTTTACAGCCTTCAATTCATTTAAGTTCCGCCCTTGCCAGTGAAATGAGAATCGCCGAAAGATCCCTCTCCCACACGCCCCCGACCTTGCTAGGCCTTGCCCCCAAGAATCCTACAAATACATGCGATAGTCTTCTGCACATGCTGCGAACATCCCTCTCTCGTCCAGCGATTATTGCTGTAACATACGGTAGCACTTGGAATTCGTTGTGTTGCTTGTGGCTTGGCTCCTGAGTCGCGGAGGAACGTGGCCTGGCCATTCTGGCAACGGAGTATGTCATTGAGATCGTGGGCAAAGGCGAACATGCACTTGTGTTTTTGCATTTGGCTTCGTGGGGCTTGGAAGACACCGACTTGGACAGACACCCCTAGTGTAGAGGCTTTTGTCCTGGAACCCCGTTTTCTCATACGGGCTGCGATTGTCCATTCACTTCAAGCTTTCTCCAAAGGTCACCTGTAGTGATTCTCTGGCATCTGCCGTATCCATTGTGGGGTGGGCTGGTCAGAGTCTGATCGCCCTCACTTTGCCCCTTCTCTAAGTTCATGCACGCATCGCATGTCACCTTTTGCCTTGCGCGCAGTGCAGGGATGCACCTTTCCATGTGCCACGCAGACTTTGCCCGTGCTGAACTCGAGCGGCTTTTTTCCTCAACAAGGTTTTTTGGGCACAGATGAAAGCTTGATTTGCCTGCTCTTCTGAGTCAATGGCTTTGGCTGCCCAGAAGTCGCGCTTTGCCGATGCAAAGTCTGCAGCACTAGCGAGCAATTTGTACTAAGAGTTTTCGCCCTGCTCGTGGTTTCAACAGGTCGCCGGCTTCCTTGTTTTGCTTTGCTAGAAAACCAAACACTGGCTGGCTGGGCACTGGCGATAATTATAGTGCGCCGCGATGTGCTGCGCATGAAGCTTGGACAACCCCGGTTTGCCCTTTCTAGTCATCCTGTGCAAGTTTGATGCTCGATCCTAAGCACTGATCACAAGTAGCGATCTCTCTATCTGTTGTTCCAACACTCGAATCACAAGGACCTTCAGGGTATTTCGGGTTGAGGACACGCCTGGACCTGCTCCTACCAGGCATCCGCGTCCTCGACACGCTGCGGATTGACACGACGCCGGAGTTTCCGGCGGCCCCTCTCTTTCCCTGGGACCGGAAGAGATTTGGGCACACTTTGCTGACTCAGGGTTGCAAGGGTGGCAAGGGTGAAGGTTTTCAGCCAGAGTTGGGTTACCTCAATATAGCCCTGAATCCCACCGATGATTCAGGTCAAATGAATCCCATCTCTAGCATTATGAGCACGACCACAGCCTCTTAGCTTCTCACTGCCATCGCAGCTTCACAGCCGGCAGTTCACCGAGACCAGATGCGATCAATCTGAACCCTGAAGCCAAGGTAGACGTTACAACAACCCGAAGTCTTAGAGAGGTGTCAGTTCGCCCACCAGGACACTCAGATGTTTGCAGAAGACGGCTCGCTTTACATGCGAGGCCTGGGTCAACTTTTTGGCAGTTGCTGCTGGTGGCATGTTGGCGACCTTCGGAGACTGGCAGTGTTGGGAAATTCAGAAGACTCTGTAGTGTGCGGAACTCGGCAACTCTTGTGTTGGTCTGCTGTTTCTGTGGATTAAGACCTGCTCGACCGTCATCGGACAGGGAGCAGCGGACTGTTGGACACTTCCCTGCTTATCATCCTGGGAAGCATTCTAAGCCTGGCAGAGACCGCAAGCCCTAACGCGACACGCGGCATCCAATTCGTCCACGCGAGATGTGCGGACATGTTGGTCACAAAATGCACCTCAGGAAAGCGTAAACCCATTTAGAGAAACAAGACAGCACAGCAAAGCAACATGGCATCGCAGCAGGCAGCAGGCTCACAGTTTCGCGGGCTGCCTTGCATTTTCCAACGTTTTGGTTCAGGACCGATAGCAAGGCCTTTTTTTCAGAAGCTGAATTCCGACCATCGATTTCATAGAGCCAGGTCATAGCGTACTGCACACCGCGCCACGATGATCTCCACGACTGCATGGGCGTTTAGGGTTTAGGGTTTAGGGTTTAGGGTTCAGGGCCCACCCCACTGCTGCCAGCAACCATCCTGACCGGACCTAGAAGGGGGGTCAGGATTCATGACGCTCGCTTTTTCACCAAGCATCATTGTGTGAGTTGTGTCGCTGGCAGGCCTATTTGGCTTGAACCTCTGCCAGATCTCCGCCACGGGCGCGTACAGCCACCAGATTCTTATGAGATGGGGTTCCGAGCTTCAAGCACATGCGGTTTAGAGATGGTTCCAAATTCCCCTTGTGTGAGGACGCATGCTCGTAGTTCGTGCACTTGCTGTTTCGAATGCTTCAAAAAAGCAACATCAACCTTCAACAACCTTGCTACGCCACCCATCAGGCGACGCGATTTCCACAACTGCTTCTCCCAGCTCCCAAGACATCCCTTATCCCTTTGAAGCCCTAAACCCTAAACCCTATGCCCTATGCCCTATGCCCTATGCCCGCCCTGCTCCTGAAGTGCCCATTGCTCTCCATTGGACAAGCACGTATGGTCATGTAGGCAGCGGGAACTGATGTTGGGGACTGAGATGGGGGGGCAGGGGTGGGGGCATCTGAGTGTGTGTGTAGATGTGGGGGCCTAGGGTCCAAGAAAGGGGCTGGAATGTATCAAATTTTTCGGCGGCTTTGATAGATATCTTTGATATTTGTCCTCAGGAAGCTGGTATCGCTGCATGCTTGAATGTCCTACGCTTGCTACGTGAAGAACATGTTGCAGACCACAAAATTGGGCCTGGAAGAACATTCGAATATACCGCGTGTTCAGCATGCAGTGTTGAGGCTTGGATTTTGAGGCTCGTTTCCTCAATCATGTCGCTGAGGCGGAGCCGACACCACTGCATATAATGCGTTCGCGAAGGCGCACCTCAGGGAACTGTTTAGGGCGAGGGTTTAGGGTTTAGGGTTTTGGAGCCGAACATGTTAGCAACGTTCTCAGCTCCACTACCTCGCAGCATGTCTGAACAATTTCAAAATTATGGCCACGCGCAGCGCATTCCGCAAAAATGCGCGCGTTTTCAGCACGTCCGAATGTCGTCGTCGTCGTCGTCGTCGTCGTCGTCGTCGTCGTCGTCGTCGTCGTCGTCGTCGTCGCTGTTGCTGTTGCCGTTGCCGTTGTTGCTGTTCTTGCTGTTCTTACTGTCCTTGCTGTTCTTGCTGTCGATGCTGTCGTTGCTGCTGTTGCTGATGTTGCTGTCGTTGCTGTCGTTGCTGTTCTTGTTGTTCTTGCTGTCGTTGCTGTCGTTGGTGGTGTTGCTGTCGTTTCTGTCGTTGCTGTTGTTGATGTTGCTGCTGTTGCCGTTGTCGCCGTTGTTGCCGTTGTTGCTGTTGTTTCTGTTGTTGTTGCTGCTGTTGCTGTTATTGTTGTGGTTGCTGTTGCTGCTGTTGCTGCTGTTGCTGCTGTTGTTGCTGTTGCTGCTGTTGTTGCTGTGCTTGCTGTTCTTGCTGTGCTTGTTGCGCTTGCCGTGCTTGCTGTTGTGGCTGTGCTTGCTGTGCTGGCTGTGCTGGCTGTGGTGGCTGTGCTGGCTGTGGTGGCTGTGCTGGCTGTGGTGGCTGTGGTGGCTGTGGTGGCTGTTGTTTCTTGTGGTTGGTCGTTGTGGTTGGTCGTTGTGGTTGGTCGTTGTGTTTGGTCGTTGCTTGGTCGTTGTTTGGTCGTTGCTGGGTCGTTGCTTGGTCGTTGTTTGTCGTTGTTTGTCGGTGTTTGTCGGTTTTTGTTGCGGCTTGTTGTGTCTGTGTTGCTGTTGATGTCAGTTTCGACATTGTGCACGTGTGTTGCAAAGTGCAGGGTGCACGCAATGACGGCCACCAGGCGCGTTGAAGAACCGACTTTGCGCAACACCCGTAGACGTTGAAACTGTCAAGCTCGTGATGCCTTTCTCCAGAATCAGTGTTTCATCCAGCAGAACAGCGTGTTCCTTCTTGCATGATCCTCACGACAATCAGATGCGAAGTGGAGTTGTGCCTCACAGCAGGACCTGAGGAAGTTCACGGACCCCAGCAGAAGCAAGTTTTCAACGACCTCGCTCCGCTTTTATTCCGCATACCCGAGCCTTGCCAGCAATTGCGGGTGACTGGCCCTAAACCTTCCTAAGCTGCTCAATCCTTTACACCCTACTGTATTCTGCTGCTCTAATATGGGCTAATGGTCGGCTTGATTGCCGGGTTTGCAGGTAGGTCCGGGGGTCGGGGGTTTGGAGCCCGGAGTTTCAGTGTTCCGGCATGCATGGATTCGTTGAGAAGCAACACTTTCGGAGATTCATGAGCTCATGCTCCCGAGTTTCAGTGGCTTCTCCATGGTTTCTCCATCATACTCATAAAATCGGCGGGGCCGATGGAGAAAGAAGACCTTGCTGAACCCCGATCGTCAGCGTTTGTATTTGACCCCGCTGAAGCACACACACACACACACACACACTACTGAGGCCTGAACCGATTAAGGCACGAAGCCCCGACGTCTCTGCAGCCTCACAGCCATCATCAGCCATGCCAACAAGGAAACCCTAAACCCTAACCCTAAACCCTAAACCCTAAACCCTAGACCCTAAACCCTAAACCCTAAACCGTTTTGGAATCGACATCAAGTCGCTTAGCCAGGAAGGCCGGGGCTCCTTTCACCCCAGAGAAGCACCTAAAGGCCAGCTGCCATCCACCGGGGGGTGCGAAGTCAGAAGGTTTAGGGTTTAGGGCTTAGGGTTTAGGGTTTAGGGTTAAGGGTTTTGGGTCAGAACTGACTACGTGGTTCGTCTGGTTTGGGCATTTCCAAGCATATGCATCTGCAAAGCCTGCCTGCCGCATGAGCAAAGGTTGGTGGATGCAATGTTGAGGTCAGGCATCCAATCTCGCTTTGAAGGCGACCTATGTGGTCAGATCCACAGACTGCGACATGTACAATGTCCTGTTCCAGGCCGGCCAGTGGACGTTTGATGGCTTTGGGGCCGATGTGCCGATAAGGTCCTTCAGCGCGCATGGTGTTGAAGGTGCTGGCAAAACGGAAGCGGAACCTCTTGCACAGCGCCTAAATTAGAACCCCTGACCCTTCCTGTGATTGCGATGGCCTGTGCGGCAAGCAAGCAAGCATTCTCGGTATGCGATGCTGCGCACTGCTTGTGGCCAGTCCCACGTCACTGATATACTTTTGCCCCCCCCCCCCATGCAATTCTCCGAGTCCTGCTCGTTCTCTGCCAGTACGACCATCGTCCCCAAGCGCATGACCAACGACCCCATGTGTTCTAGTATTTGGGGGTCTTGGGCATTTTTTCCTTCTTGTTATTGGCATTCTTGGCTATGGTTCCTAGAGTGAGGCGCCCTTGCCCAACAAGACCCAGTGGGACAACAGATTCGACGTGAAACGAAACAAAATCGAAGGAGCCGCCCCCGTAGTTGCCGATCGAGAGATTAGAGGTCAAGGAGGCTTCCAGCCCTTTTCCTGTGTACTGTTGTACATATCCACCCAGCCAGACCTTCTGCACAACCTCGTGCTCTATGTTTGCTTCCAGGGACGAGTTCCGTCCATGATGGAGTCCTGCTATCCGCAGCACGATGCCAGGGCATTCTATGCCGGAATCCCAGCCTTCAAGAGAGAATCAGACCAGAGAGGTTTTGAGGCTTCGCCGCTTGGTGTTTCTGCTTCCCTCCCGGTTCTTGAGGCTTGGTGTAGCCTATGTTTTCCATCCGAGACCCCTGTACTTTGCCAGTGGTGGGCCAGCAGCAGTCTTAGGGCACTATGACACCCAAGGTTTTGTAGGGCTTTCGGGGCTTGAGTCGGGCACTTTTAGTAGAAAGCTTTGAGGTCCTCGCTTCAGGGTTTTGTACTGAACGGTGGCTGGGAACATTGCCCCTTAGGCTACAACTACCAAGAAGGTGCCCTTTGGCTCGGGATGCAGACCTTCAGGGTTTAGGGTTTAGGGTTTAGGGGTTTAAGGTTTAGGGGTTAGGGGTTTAGGGGTTTAGGGGTTTAGGGTTTAGGGTTTAGGGTTTAGGGAGAGTTCAAGGTCCCAAACAAAGTCGGCTTGCAGCCCGAAGCATCTTGCTGTGGACCTCCTGCGAGCCATGGCCGCAGGTCAACATTCGGATGTCCGTGCATCCAGGAGATGAGCTTGCCGTCCACGTGTTCGTGGAAAAGGCTTGCACGCACTGGTGAGATTCGTTAAGGTCTTGAATTCTTAGGCGTTGCCCTAAACGCACGATCTTTGATGGAGACATATGGAGATGGTAGTGCGACGCGCAACGTTCGGCTGAATTTCAGAGGGAACTCCTCGGCCCATAAATGAGATCGAGCCGAGAAGATGAACCCTAGGAGTTCCACCGGCTTCTTCAACAGCACGAAGTGCTACACAAGTTCTCAGTAGGGGCCTACGCAGCTGTCCAGGCGAAAGCCTTCTTCGTTTGCCTGCGAGGCTCACCAGCATGCCTCTGTGAGTAAGGGCGACACTTCCGGCAGGTTATATTCGGGGAAGCTGTTTTGGAGACAACTTTTCAAGAATCGCTTCAGGTCGGTCACCGAGGGTTGTTGGTGGTCCGCCACCCCCCGTACGCGATCGCCGTGTCGTCCGTCGTGCGTCTGGTCTTGTCTCTGCCTCATCACATCAGAGTGTCCATTCAGCTCCTCAGTGCCCATCAGAGCCTCCCTGCCCTCCTTAGAGCCTCTGAGGTTGTTAAAAAATCCTCTCGAAAGCGACTCTCACCCTCTGTAGGTAAAGAGCCGGTGCTCACAGCAGTGGGACACTACGAGGCGTGGCTTTTAGCTTCTCAGTCTGAGTTGTTCGAGCTTGAGCCTGCAATTGCATTGGGTTCACAGGCTGTCGCGAGCCTAGGAAACAAAGCTGCAATCTTGCACCTGTAAAAGATACTCTGTCCCTGGAGCTCATTCTAAATCCAGTTTAAACCCTATAGGCCCTAAACCCTAAATGCAGAGGCCTGGGAGAGGCCTGGAAACTGATAGTTCGTGCTTCTCGGGTCGAAGAAGCAAAAGCAGAACGCTGCAAGTGAGGCTCGCGACCTTCCCTTTTAACGCCTTCACACGCTGAACATCTTAGGCCACGCCCGTCATATACAGCTTCTATTGGCCTTCCCACAGGAGCGATTCCTTCTGAAGCCCTCAAACCTCAACTGACATAGTAGCAAACCCGTGGCGACACTCACAGGAAGGCATGAGTATGTACTGCTTTTCGCGGCCATGATGAGCAAGCCAGGCAGCTTGTAGTAAAGGCGCTTACAATGAGGATCTGCCATTATGCATCCTGAACGCTCCCGTACTCTCCTCTTTACATGAAGACGGCAGGTTGCTCTTTCTCAAGGAAGCTCCCAAATCGCAACTTCGCTCGACCATTCGGCGGGAAGATCTGAGCAAGCCTGGGCCAACCGGACCCAACAAGATCCTGTTCCTGAATCCGGTTCCTGAAGGTTGCCGTTCAAGAGGGATGGTCTTAGTGATTCAACCCTAAACCCTAAACCCTAAACCCTAAACCCTAAACCCTAAACCCTAAACCCTAAACCCTAAACCCTACACCCCTCCCAGTTGGAGGCCTCGGCCATCTGCCAAGAAGAGATCAAGTGCGCCTCCTTGAGGTGCCTTGGGGGTTTAGGGTTTAGGGTTTAGGGTTTAGGGTTTAGGGTTTAGGGTTTAGGGTTTAGGGTTTAGGGTTTAGGGTTTAGGGTTTACGGAGCTGATGGCCCCACGAGCCTTCCTATCCTTGCTCCGGACGGTTCAGAAAGTCTAGAATGGGCTATTCGGTTCCAGAATCCGCATAATAAACCCCATAAAGGGCCTTTTTAAGGGTTATATTGTGGGGATTTGTAGGGTTTAGTAGCCCATCCTGGGTTGGCAGGTTTTGCTAGCCTGCTCTGCCTTTTTAGGGGTTTAGGGTTTAGGGTTTAGGGTTTAGGGTTTAGGGTTTAGGGTTTAGGGTTTAGGGCTTTTTCGGCTTCAAGATGCGTAAGCTTCAGTCCAGATTCAGCACCATTTGGTTAGATTGGTCAACTGCGGTTGGACGGATCACGAGTAGAGGGGGCCTTGCTGAAGACCATCAAGCCCTAAACCCTAAACCCTGAACCCTAAACCCTAAACCCTAAACCGCACTCCTCCGGCTCGTTCGAGAGGTGAGGCTGTGGGCACAACCTTCTTGTGTCCGGGGTCCTGCTGTATGGTGTGTAATGGGCGCCGAGCATGCAGAACGAGAGCTACTCAAGTAAGAGGCTGCAGATCCCCTCGGTCGGTTCGCTTTCTACCAGCGCAGCGTTGATATCGTCCCAAACCTCCCAAGTCGAAATATGCCTTCGCCAGAGTTGACTCCACAGATGCATGCAGGCTGCCAATCATTCTCAAGTTCTGCAATGATGGGACGAAGCCATCTCCCTGTCACTCGGTCAAGCCCTAAAACCCCCATACAGCGTGTTGAATTTGGGCGAGAATCTGGGATCTTTCGGGCGTTTAGGCGGAGAGGCTTTTGGCTTAT